TAGCATAGCAGCCAACTCCTAGGGGCCGCGGGGGCTTCAGTTACCCCAATAAAATATTTGAGCCCCCCTTCAAGTTGATGGGCATTGCTATTCAAATGGTGTGCGTGCCCCGCTTCATGTGATCGATTATGCAGGGAGTAGCTTACCTGGGGCCAACCAATCTTTTATTCCAGTTTGTCCCCTGTGCTTTAGTGCAGGTGTGGGGAACCTTTGGCCTTCCAGGGCTGCTAAACTACAGTTCCCATCAGTCTTAGCAAGCATGGCCAGTGGCTTATGGGGGGGGCTTATTGTTCGGCAATATCTGAAGGGCTAAAAGTTCCATACCTGTTTTAGTAGTTAAAAAATTAAGTTGTGAGCAACTTAAAAGGAGCAAGCAGCTCTTATTTCAAATCTTCACCTCAGCCTTTGCAGACTAGATGGGCTTCCACACACATGTAGCCTCAATCTCTCTAAGCATTTAGCTTCACCTGCACAATGTTTTATTAAGTCAAAAGACGGCACATTTCAGTACACATTCATGCCCTCCACATTCTTTCTGCAGCTTTCTGCAGCTCCCCTGCAGCCAGGTTTCACTGGGGTTCCCTTACAATAAGTGGGGGTCCCCCCCTTCCACCCCACCCCATTCCACAGCATCTCTGAAAAGTGATGCTGTTGTTTAATATTAAAGATTACAATGGTTGGAAAAACATAACTAAAACTATAGTTCACACCACACTTCATGTTTTGATATTTTTTTAGTCTTCTTAAGTGTATGTTGTACTTCAAGGCTGGAAGTGGGGGCCATGTGGACAAACTATTAATTGAACAGGAATGGAACCAGTTCCTTTTGGAACTAGTGGGGTGAATGGGAACTGGAACTAACTCTTTTTTAAAATCAACTTTCCAAGCACTGAACTATACTCACAAAGGCTGCCTCCCTACAGACATTGATTCTATATACAGAGTGGTTGGGGGTCGGGGGTGGGATGTCTGCAATGTTGGCATAGGACTACTTAACTTGGCCCTATGCCTTGCAAGGCGGCATGTTCTCATTTCATGCTTAGAAGCTGAGACCCGGGCCAGGTGAAGGTGTAGGTTTGAGGAAGGAATAAGAAGGTGGAAAACACCAGTTGAACACCACCCTCTGCTGATTAAGGAGAAGTACAAAAATCCGAGAGAAATCTTAATGGACTATGAACCCTGAAATCCTCCAGTGGTGGCAGAAGAGACACAACAAGGAGGTTCTCAGAGCTGTTCTTAGCAAGAAGAAGAGGCTGTAAACTAGAGGAAAATGAACATAAACGTAAAGATTTAAAAAGGGATTAGTGAGGAGACGAGAAACTGTTGAGCAATAAATCTGAGCAATAGGCGAATGTTTGAAAGCATTAGTAAGCTTTTAATGAAAAATAAATAAAATGAAACCAAAGCAAATAGCTGCAGTCCAGTTGTGCAGAGCGGAGGTTTCAGCAAGCACACAACTCAGCAAAATTCACCTTCAATGATGCCTCCCATTGCAGGCCAGACAGGGATGGTGGCCAGCTTTGTTAACCATAACAATCATTTCCTGTGCAACGACAGCTTTTCTTGCCATCTGAATGGCATCCATTTTGCTTCTTTGTTTCCTGGCAAAAGACTCTTGTGTTTTCCTTATCGTTTCGCAATTCAGGTACTTTTTAGTATTCATGTCACTAATTAAATTTATTATTTAAAAGTACATCCTTGCCCTTCTTACAATAGAAACTCAAAGCCGCTCACCATAAAAGATGTGAGTAGGACCAGTAAAGAACAAGCATAATGTGAAATCCACAGGTAGCGGGTTCCCTTGCCCTACTGCTCCACCCTTCACCCAGATCTTGTCTGCTTGTTTCCTTGGCAACCTGCATTCCATTCTCTCCCTCCTCAGCTGCTGCTGGACTGTGCTCTTCTAACAGCCACAGATTTTGGACATGAGGGTTCTTCAATCCTGACATAGTAGTAGTAGTAGTAGTAGTAGTAAGGTTGCCTCAGTCACTCTGGGCAACTTCTAGCAGATATAAAAACATAATAAAACATCAAACATTAAGAACTTCCCTGTACAGGGCTGCCTTCAGATGTCTTTTGAAAGTTGTGTGGTTCTTTAGCTCCTTGACATCTGACAGGAGGATGTTCCATGGGGTGTGTGCCATCACCGAGAAGGTCCTCTGCCTGGCTCCCTAAAACCTCCCTTCTTGCAGGGAGGGAACATCCTGAAGACCCTCGGAGGTGGACCTCTGTGTCCAGGCTGGACGCTGGAGGGTAGGACACCAAATTAGTTTCTCATGCTCTCAGAGGCACAGTGTTCTGCTAGAAAAGATGACCCACCAGCCTGTCCCAGCAGATGATCCAACAGAGTGAATTGGTGGAGGCAGAAAGCAGGAATGAACTCTCCATGCATCAACTGTTACATGGGGAGTTCAATATTGCTTGGTTCAGGTGTGCAAGAGAGTTCTTCTTCTTCTTGCAAACTCTACTAGGTTTTCCCCAGTTGTTTTTTCGTGGGGTGGGGCAGGGCACACAGAATGTATGAGGGGGGAATTGAGCTAAGGCCTTTCCAACCTCAATACCACTATCAACAGGAAAGTGGTGAATTGAAATATTCCCTAGCAAACAGGTTGAATATTGCATTTGTGTTCCCTCTCTGTGTGGTAATTTGCTCTGCATCACACTGAATTATATCATTTTATTATATTACACCTCACCAGGGTGGCAAACACAGTGACTAACAGTAACTGGATAGCTAAACGCTTTGAGGATGAAGTTCATTGGCTCTGTAGTGATATAGATGCTGTTTTGTGACAGTGTTGTGGTACCAGTTCCACTTAATGCAGCCTGATGGTGTAAACAGGATCCAACCACCTGCTCATGAGATCTTTGTCTTATGTAAGCTAGCCTGGGTGGAGTGACTGAAGGCGGCGGAGGTGGTAAATGGATGGAATTTTGCCTGCTGCCTTTAGTGCCAGAGGTGCATCTCTTGTCAAAAAGCCTGTGCTAGACCCAGTGGAGTATGACTGTAGACTGGTCACCAATGCTGCTTTCTGGGGAAAAGCAGCTGCAGGTATTCCTTAATGAGAATGGTGCTCTAGTCTAGATCATGGTAGGCAAACTAAGGCCCGGGGGCCGGATCCAGCCCAATCGCCTTCTAAATTGGGCCCACGGATGGTCCGGGGATCAGGGTGTTTTTACATGAGTAGAATGTGTGCTTTTATCTAAAATGCATCTCTGAGTTATTTGTGGGGTATAGGAATTTGTTCATCCCCCCGCCAAAAAAATATAGTCCAGCCCCCCACAAGGTCTGAAGGACAGTGGCCCCCTGCTGAAAAATTTTGCTGACCCCTGATCTAGATCCACTATGGGTTCAGACCTGGTTTAGAAACTGAGCAATCCCAGGACCATTCCTATGTCTGCTAAGAAAAAAGAAATGTGTTATTCAGAAGCCGGGACATGTGCTAAGGACTATTATGATTTGTTAGCTACTTGTCTGAAGTGGTTGATGCTTTGGGTGTTGGATGGGTTTGGAGGGTAGGAAAGGATATTGTTATGTACTGAGTTGAATAGGATCCAAAAGGTAGCAGTCTGATTGGTCTTAGAACAATAGGGTCCAGAATGCAGCAGTCTGATTGGTCCTAGAACAATGCAGCAGTATGATTGGTTCGCAGGAGCCACCCAATCCAGCTCCAGGTGGAAGTGAATCCGCAACCTGATTGGCCTACAGGAGAATCCCAGAATTACCCAATCATGTGCGGCCCATTGTGTAAATAATGTATATAAAGCAGATATTTTGGGGAAACTTTGATTCCTCACTACTATGAGCTGAATAAAGAGCATGAAATCCACACTCGACTCCGAGTATATTTCACTGGTGACGAGGATGGGACCCCGCTGAGCTGACTGCCACACACAGCACCGCAGCACCGCCACCTGCCGCACCGCTGCCTCGCATCGGGCATCCAGGCTTCAGCTCCGGGACCCAAGAAACTCAGAATAGCAACCGACAGCAGCTTCTTGCCATTCAACCCAGCATCAGGAGACTGGGAAGCGTACGCCACCCGTTTCACTTTCCTCCTAGAGGCCAAGGGGGTCACTAACGAAGAAGATGCCAAGAAGAGGGTGATATTCTTCAGTGTCTGCGGAGAGGAGATGTTTGAAATCGCCTGGGCTCTCCTTGCGCCTGAAGACATTGTTACTGTTCCTTACAATACAGTCGTGCCTCGCAAGACGAAATTAATCCGTTCCGCGAGTCTCTTCGTCTTGCGGTTTTTTCGTCTTGCGAAGCACGGCTATTAACGGCTTAGCGGCTTTAAGAAAAAGGAAACAAACTCACAAGAACTCGCAAGGCGTTTCGTCTTGTGAAGCAAGCCCATAGGGAAATTCGTCTTGCGGAACGACTCAAATAACGGAAAACCCTTTCGTCTAGTGAGTTTTTCATCTTGCGAGGCATTCGTCTTGTGGGGCACCACTGTACAATAATGGAACGGCTGAAGGGGCACTTCTCGCCACAGCCCTCGGTGGTGGCTCGTCAAAATACCTTCTACGCAAAGCGGCAAGCCACTGGGGAAACCATAACTGGGTTTGTGACCTCCCTCTGCCAAGCCGCCCAGTTCTGCAACTTCTCAGAGTTGGAGAACATGCTTTGTGACCGCCTCGGTGGTGGCCTTAAGGATGAGAAGCTGCAACGACACCTCTACGCCAAGAAGGACCTAACGTTCCAGGTTGCTCTGGAGGAGGCCCTGGCAACAGAAGCTGCTGAGAGGTCGACGCAAGAGGCTCGGCTGAGCCTGTCGTCCCAACCGAGGGTCCACAACAAAGACTTCACCGACGACTCAGGATACGACAGGGAGGAGGTGCACCAAGTACAGCAGCGCAGTCAAGCAGCGCACAGACCACAACTGACTCGACGAGAAGGAGGGAACTGCGCAAGCTGCGGGGAGAGTCACGAGAGGAGGACCTGCCGTTTCCGCAAAACAGAGTGCAGGCAGTGCAGGAAATCGGGACACATCGCCTGGATGTGCCGGGCTCAGCCCACCCAACGCCAGGCCTCAGATGACCGATCCAAGAGCCCCAGGCCCCGGGGCCCAACACACCAAGGCAACTCGATGGAGATCACGGACTGCCAGGTATACCAGTTGCCCCACCCCAACGTAGAGAAAAATTATGTAGAGGTACAGATAGAGGGGGCCCCGTGCTGCATGGAGCTTGACATGGGTTCAAGTCTATCTATAATCTTGGCAAGGGCCTTAAGGAAACTGTGCCCTAGTGGGGGTCCCAAACTCAGGCCAGCCCCATTCACCCTCCGGGACTTCCAGAAACGTAAGGTCCCCACAATGGGGGTGGGGACTTTCAGGGTGCAATATCAAGGGCGGATGCGGCAACTGGACTTGCTTGTGGTCAAGGGCCCCTACATTAGCTTACTGGGATTGGCATGGTTTGGACCACTGGGGCTAGCCGTCACGGGGGTGAACCGCACTAGCTTACAAGTGGACATGGATGCCATATGCAAGGAATTTCTGGGGGTTTTCGATGGGAAATTGGGACAGTATACGGGGGCCCCCCATTGCTCTACAGCTTGACCCCACAGTACGACCTGTCAGGTTCAAGGCCCACCTGGTCCTGTTCTCCCTGAAACCCCATATAGATGAGGAATTGGACCAGCTCGTGGAGCAAGGAGTGCGGGAGCCTGTGCCTAATGCCCCTTGGGAAACCCCAATCGTCACACCCGTCAAGCCTAATGGTTCGGTCTGCATCTGCGCAGACTACAAATGTACCATAAATAAGGCCCTCACGGCCCACACATACCCAGTGCCAGCAGTCAGCCATGTCCTTGCCACCCTAGCTCGGTCAAATTTTTTTGGCAAGCTGGACTTGGCCCAAGCCTGTCAACAGCTGCCAGTGGATGAAGCCACAGCAGAGGCACAGATGATTGTGATGCATGGAGGAGCATTCAGGGTAAAGCGGCTGCAATTCGGTGTCAGCGTGGCACCAGGCATATTCCAGAATCTAATGGACTCTCTCCTTAAAAGGATTCCTGGCGTCACCCCCTTCTTCGATGATTTGTTCATTGCTGGGCCCACACCAGAGGAGTTTGAGGACTGCCTCCGCACCGTTCTTCACCGTTTCCAGACAGCAGGTCTCAAGGTGAAACGGGAAAAGTGTCTACTAGGAGTGCCTCAGGTGGACTTTATGGGATTTATGTTAGACGCAGAAGGGGTCCACCCGACTGGGGACAAGGTATGGGCCATTTGTGATGCCCCAGCACCCAAGGGCAAGACTGAACTTCAGGCCTTCTTGGGACTATTGAACTTTTACCATTCCTTCCTTCCCCATAAGGCGGCGGTAGCGGAGCCTACAGACTCCTGGACAAGTGGGCCCCTGGGTGCGGGGCCAGCACCAGGAGGCCACATTCCAGGCAGTGAAGGACTTGCTTGTCTCAAACTCGGTCTTGGCACACTTCGACGAGAGGCTGCCGGTGCTAGCATGTGATGCCTCGCACTACGGCATCGACGCTGTCCTGGGACACCAACTCCCGGATGGAAGAGAGGTGCCGGTGGTATACTTTCCCCAGACACTCTGTGCTGGCCCTGAGGGATAACTGTGCAGCAAGGTCTGGGTCCAGTCCGAGTTCGAGGGTCGAGGCTGTCTGTCAAAGCTGAAGCTGGGTCCAAGGCAGGGAGTTGGGTGAGGTCAGGAACTCTGGCAGAAAAGTAGGACAGGGTGCAGGCAGGAACAGGCTACCAACATTGTTGCTCCCGCAACCTGGGACTGGGGCTGGCTGGCTTTTATCTGCCCTGAGGCATAGGGCAGCCGCGGTCCATAGGAGACTCGCCTCTCCTGGCCTGGAGGCAAGCACTCCTCCTGTGGGAACTCAGCAGCTCAGGAGAGTCTGGAGGGTCACCGGACCCAGAAGCAACCTCAGCTTCCCCTGACGGGGCTGAGAGTGGAGCACCTGCAGACAATAGGTCCTCCATCACCTCAGGAGTCAGAGCAGACTCAGCTGGTGCCTGCATCTGAGGATCCAGCACAGGTGAGGACCCTTCAGGCTCAAGCCCCAGCCCCGGCTCAGCTGGTTCTGGAGGCGGGGACTCCTGTGCAGGCTGGGATTCCTCAGGTTCAGCCTCCGAGTCCGAATCCCAGGCCATCACACACTTGACGCAACCAAGCGGAACTACTCGCAAATCGACAAGGAGGGTCTGGCAATCATGAAGGGAGTAAAAAATTCCATGATTTCTTGTATGGGCAGCCCTTTACCATGGTGACTGACCACAAGCTGTTGCTTGGCTTGTTTGCCCCCAAAAAGCAGTGCTGTCTCCTCACGTCCTCAGGTGGTCAATTTTCCTTGCCAGCTACCAATATGAACTGATTCACCCCCCCGGGGAAGGCGATGGGCCACGCGGACCCCCTCAGCAAGCTCCCACTACCGGAAACAGGCCCTGACCCAGAGCCTGTGCAAGAGGTTATGAGCCTGGAGCTGCTTCCTGAACACCCCTCCCCTCTAATGGCTGGAAGTCACACTGGTACGGTCCACTTCCACGTCCGCAGCCATCCGGGTACTACGCAGGCTGTTTGCAACCCACGGGCTCCCTGACACTCTCGTCTCAGACAATGGAACCACATTTACGTCAGGAGAATTCCAAATCTTCACAGCGCAGAACGCCATCCGCCACATCCGCTCAGCGCCATTCCACCCTGCCACCAATGGTCAAGCAGAACGCATGGTGCGGACCACCAAGGACACCCTTCGCCGCATGACGCAAGGGGATTGGGAGTACCGCCTTGCCACATTCCTTCTAGCACAGCACAGCACCCCCAGCTCAACGACTGGCTGGAGCCCCGCTGAACTGCTAATGGGTCGGCGCCTTGCAATCAGATTGGACCGCCTTCACCCCAATAGAGCTCAGGATGAGGTAGTGGTGGGGGAAGGCAGGAACCCCCGGACCTTCGTGACCCAGGACCCAGTGTATGCAAAGAATTTTGGGGCAGGCCCTATATGGGTACCCACCACAGTCACCAGGGTCACTGGCCCCGTGTTGTAAGATGTGCTAACGGGGGGGGGGGGCAATGCTGGCGCCGCCACAGCGACCAGATATGGCGACGATTCCCGGAAGAAAACCAGGAGGAGGACAGGTCAGAGGAGTCCCAAGGGAACAGTGGAGCAGTGAGGCCCATAGAGCAGGAGGGGCCAGCAGGAGAGGCAGAATCAGTAAATACAGAGAGGACCCGCGGGGCCGAAAGGACACCGGAACCAGAACCACGACTGAGCGAGCGGGTTGCACCAGACCAAATGGCCCCATCACAGCCAGCATCCTTGGAACATGAGCCAGAACCTGAACCTCGGACCAGGGAACACCCCAGGCCACAACGTACATGTAGGCGGCTGGCGTACCTTGAGGACTATGAATGCAACCTTCCCGGGAAGGACTGGAACTTAGAGGGGAGGGGTGTTATGTACTGAGTTGAATAGGATCCAAAATGCAGCAGTCTGATTGGTCCTAGAACAATAGGATTCAGAATGCAGCAGTCTGATTGGTCCTAGAACAATAAGATTCAGAAATCAGCAGTTTGATTGGTCCTAGAACAATAGGATTCAGAATGCGGCAGTCTGATTGGTCCGCTGGAGCCACCCAATCCAGCTCCAGGTGGAAGTGAATCCACAACCTGATTGGCCTACAGGAGAATCCCAGAATTAGCCAATCACGTGCGGCCCATTGTGTAAATAATGTATATAAAGCAGATATTTTGGGAGAACTTTGATTCCTCACTGTTATGAGCTGAATAAAGAGCATGAAATCCACACTCGACCGAGTATATTTCAGATATTATTTATTATTTTTCCTTCCTTTTACTCACTTGTGGGAGTTTAACATCTAGTTAGCAGAGTTTAAAATCATCACCCCTATGCAGTCTGGGACATAGCTGCTTAACCTTATTAATAATCACCCAGGAAGCTTTAGCAGACTGGATCGTTCCCTTTTTATCTCTCTAAACAAAGGATCGCAAACAAGTATGCAATGTAATAATAAAATTTTTGTTTACTTACATAAACTTTCAAACCAGATTCCAGCAGAAAGCAGCACTAAAAACAAGATGGACAGAATCTACATTTAGATTACAAAATCTAAAAGATAAAAAATGGGGTCTGTGCTCAGGAGGGCACAGAAAAAGCCTCCTTTCTTTTCTGCTACATGGTGAGACTGAACTCTGATGTAGTAAGGATTATTTTCCTTTGTTACTTTTCCCACCAGGGCAAGCAGGGGATATGATCTCACAGAGCATCTTCTTTAGAAATTTACAGGGGAACTTCATGTATCTTAACTTATCTAGCAAAACCTGAAATTCTTATTTTGGCTGTAAGATTATTTCCCACATTGGGGGGCTACATGCTTCTGTGTGGTGTTAGGAGGTGCAAAGGAATGTGTGTGCAATGGAGAGAAAGTTATTTCTTACCCCCTACCAGAAGTTCATTTTATCCCTATTGTAATCAACATTTGATGTGATATGATTTCATTTAAAGAGAGAAGTAAATAACAAGATAACAGGAAAGGAACCATTGGACATTTAAATAATGTTCTGAATTTATTGCATAATCATACTGTTCCAAGATCTCTCAAGTCCTCTCCTGTTTTACTTTGTCTAAATGCCAGTGATAAAAAAATTATGCCAGCACATGCAGAAAAAGGTGTGCTTTATTTCAAGTTTAGGCAATTTAAGGGACCAAATCTTAAGCTTTCCCTGTGCGGACCTGCTCTTTGGCATTAGATTGGCACAGATACCAATTCAGGCTTTCAGCAGATTGAGGTTTGCTCGGATTGGGTGCTGAAGGTGGTTTTCATGGGGAGAGCCCCAGGTTTTCATGGGCACTGGCGGGGTCCGACCAAGGCAGAAGAGTGTGGTACTATTACCTCTATTGATCTGGACACTGTATTTCTCTTGTTGCAGCCTAGAAAATTAAGTGGACTGAGCAAATAATATCAGGACTAATTATATGAGTAAAATAAACTAAAGTGAATAAATATTATAACTTTACGGCTATATAGTTTACAGCTTAGCAAGAAGGAATTTAATAATATTCCTTTCTGAATCATCGTTTGGGAAGAACCTTTTGCCTGTTTGTTATTTTACCCCCCACCCTGCTAACTGATTATGTTCTTCAGCCCCAGAAGCAGTCTTGTTATTTTTGCAGACTTATTATTGCAAAGGTGCATGCCAATTTTCCTGGTGGCTGGATGCTGGGGAAGGAAACCTAGAAGCCCACACACCATCAGATAGCTAAACCACATACATAAATGCAGCTCATTTGTGGCAAGTCTGTTGCCATTTCTTTCCATCAAACCAGGACCTGTGGTGTTGTGGGGAGCAGGGGGGCGGCAAAGGAAGGTGACTTGCAAGTACCTTTGCCTGACCACAACTTCAAGGTGATGCTCAAACAGCTATAAATTGTGAGCAGGAAGGTGTAAAGTGCCCTCAAGGCCAAAAAAGCTCAGGAAGCTCCTATGCCAGAGGGCACAGGAGCTTGAATAAACTTGAATAAAATTGGGGGGGGGGAGCCCCACCCCACATAATCAACCGCATGATGCGGTGCACCCACACAATTCAAAATGGCAATGCCCATCAATTGGGGGGACAGTCCCCTTAAATATTTTATTGGGGGGGAACCCCTCAGTCCCTAGGACTTGGGTCCTATGGCAGAAGGTATTTGTAAAAGTAGTAAGAATTGCCTCAAGACCAGAATATTTCCTCAAACAGCTAGATATTAGGATTAGTATATTGTGTTTCATTGTAGTTAGAAAAGTAAAATGACAAAACTAATAAAGTTTGTGATTCCCACAAAGTGGAGAGCAAGCACCATTTTCTTTTCTTAGTGGCACTGAAATCAGATCTGGAAGGAGAGTGAACAATAACAAGAGGGTATTTGGGGGTGGGTATCTCTAAAAGACTTTAAGGTAAAGGTAAAGGTACCCCTGCCCGTATGGGCCAGTCTTGACAGACTCTGGGGTTGTGCTCCCATCTCACTTAAGAGGCCAGGGGCCAGCGCT